ATCTATACAACTGAACCCCAGAGTTTTCATGCAGAAATTAGAGTCAGACCTTCTCGATTCATTCCCTCTTGATTTCCGATGGTCTTCAGTTGTGATATTGAGAGTTCCCCAGGAGGGAAGCAAGAGTTGATTTGGAGAATGGGGTGTTTGTGGGTGAAATCTTGGTTCCATTTTCCTTTGAAGATTTGTTTCTATTGGTACGTTGCCATGAGTTGGTGTATCTGTTTGTCCTGGTCACCTAATCACAGCCACCTAATAAAACCACATTCGTATGGAATGCTTATCATGAGGAATAAATACAAAAACCTGATTGAATGGAATCGAGCAAATGGCTGGGTGGATCCACTTCCTTCCCATAAACTGTGGGGAAAGTTTATATAAATATAAATGGATGAAAATGACACTTACATGTACACATGCCCAGTTCATGGAGACCTTCCCAACTGCATGGAGTTGTGGAGACCTCCAGTGGACGTTTAGTGAAAGGAAGAGGACTATTTGTGGTAGCTTTCCCCTTCTTTTTAGAGAACAGTCATTTTTTTCCCCTTTTTATTTAACCCTCCCCACTTAATTTCTATTGCCCCACTGGCTTCCCTTGGTCTTCTTCATAACCTCACTATTCCCTCAGGCAAAATCAAATAGTGCCCAATTAATTTATGTTGGGAATTTCTGGTTTTTTTAAGGGTAACCCCAAATTTGCTACCTGAGGCATATATCAAAATGCTGGAAGGAAAAAGAATAAGAGAGCAACAACAGCAAGGGGTTGGATTTACAGTTGGAAGAACCAGAAGAACAAATTGGGGATAGAATCCACCGGAGAGCACTATTTATTTATTTCATAAATTTAGACGATCCCCCTGTCTCGCTGAATATGACTCTGGACGACGTACAACCGACAGTTAAAACAATGTCACAGCGGTGAAAACCTATGCAGCCACTAATAGCATCAACTGAATGAGACATAATCGATTGATCCATCAATCAATCCATGTAAAGTTCCAACTCTCATGGAAGGAAAGAGAAGAGGATGGCCGGCAGGAAGGTGGATGGGTTTAGTGGTGATAAGGGGCACCGTTAGAAGACTTGAAGGACCAGTTTAGGAATAGATTATCATGGAGGAAGATCTATGACATTGCTAACAATCAGCATCGACTTGATAGCGCATAATTAGCTGATTTTGAAACTATTCAGTGCACCATATCTGATTTTTCAGTCCCTACACAATAATTGAAGAGAGAATCTACTGCCTAGTTAAGGGACTTTGATGATGAGAGGGTTAAAAAAAACCCTCTGTAGTATGTAGGGAAAGCAAAGATATGCTGTTCTCACTTTCTTTCTAACCAAGCCGTACTGCGTTCTGATGGTAGCATTGAATTGAATCCCACTAACACAATGGGATCCTTATATGCCTCTTTATAAGGAAGTCCGATTAAATCCGGAAGGTTTTATAAGATAAATGTATTGTCATTGTACTCAGAAACCTGAGAACAACGAAATAAGGTGCTCTTCCACAGCATACAACTGAACAACACCAAAAGACATATACAAATAACAATGTAAAACAAATTAAAACAAATAACAGCTAAAAACTGTACAACCAGGATATATATATATATATATATGTTAAGACCACCAGATTCCTAACTCTGCCTTTAACCTGATCACAGCACTTGGGTAAAAGCTACATTTAAATCTACTTGTCCTGGCTTTCAGCACTCTATATCGTTATTTTAGGTATTTTGAGATTGCAATTTATCCATGCAAAATGCTTGGTGAATTTTTTCTTTTTTGCAAGGCTTGAAAATAATTTAAGTGCAGCACTAAGAAGAGGAAAATTTGTCAGTGGTACAAATGAAGGCGAGGGCTCTTTACTGAGATTCTTTGAGCAAAGACAGCCAAATAAGGACAAAATATCTAAAATGCCATAATATGAAAAGCAGGGCAAAGCCAGGACAAGTCCCCTGACTGAAATAAGTAATTTTAGTTACATTTTTGGTTGAAGCTTCTATTTAATGTCTATTTTATTTGTGGAATGCTCTTCAAAGCAGTAAACAAATGGTATGTTATTGGCTTATTCCCATAAACCCTTAATAATCATTTTTGGTGCTTTTTTTTTTCTGTGATATGTATTTGGAATGAGTGATGGGTTAAGGGTAGACAGATGTCAAAGCCTGAACAAATTCAGGAAGACTTTCCCAAACTCAGTGAGGATTTATGTGACCCAAGGAGAAACAAGAGTAAGCATGGCAGATAAATTAAGCCAGAGAGATTAGAAAGGATCAGTGATATATGAGACACGATTCAGTATTCAACAGATTGGAGACAAGAAATATAAAAATTTCTTGGCTCAGAAATTTCCCGAAGAAGAGGATGAGGCTCTTAAAGGGTAGTTTAACCTGTGATTTTTAGGCATTTTTGCTAACGCTAATGCTTGACAAAAGAAAGAAAGAAAGAAAGAAAGAAAGAAAGAAAGAAAGAAAGAAAGAAAGAAAGAAAGAAAGAAAGAAAGAAAAAGAAAGAAAGAAAGAAAGAAAGAAAGAAAGAAAAGAAAAGAAAAGAAAAGAAAGAAAGAAAAGTAAGTCTTAATAGATTTCTTCAAAGGAAGGTCTTCTGTTAAGTCCAAAGGCAGACTGGCAGAATCTTGTAGTATTTCCTTGAGAAGCGGCTCTATCCTCCAATTCAGACACCTCTAATTCTTTAACCATCTTGAACGTTGGGACCATTGATCTGGCTGTGACATTGATCACCAGGATTGATATGAAGTATAACAGAATAGCATGGTTGGAAGGGGCTTTTAAGGTCCAACCAGCTACTCAAACGGGAGACCTTATACCGCTTCAGACAAATAGTTGTCCAATCTTATTCTTGACAATTTCCACTGTCGGGAGCACCCACAACTTCTGAAGACAAAGTCATTCCACTGGTTGGTTGTTCTCGCTGTTAGTTCTAGGTTGCTTCTCTCCTTCCTTAGTTTCCATCTGTTTCTTCTTGTTCTGCCTTCTGGTGTTTTGGAGAATAGGTTGACCCCCATCTTCTTTGGGGAAGCCCCTCCAATATTAGAAGACTGCAATCATGTCACCCCAGTCCTTCTTTTCATTAAACTAGATATGCCCAGTTCTTGCAACCGTTCTTCCTTATGAGTAGCTTGAGCAATGCCTTTCATTCTGCTAGGATTCCTTTACTCCATGATGGGTTGGGGCCCAACCCCTCTTGATGTGAGGGATAAGATCCTTTGGGCAACTGGTTGTCATGTTGAACTAGAAGTTGCAGGGGAAAAGGTCCTTGAAGAGATTGTAAACAGATATGGAAGAATGTGCTTTTCAAATTAGAACTGCCTCACTAAATTGGGACCATCAGAATGGAGTTTAGGAACAGATAACACTCAGTTCTCATGATTGCTCCAAAGGTTGTAAAATTAATCCTGCCTGGGTTTCTGTCCAAGAGAAGTAGGATCAGCTGCCAAAAGTGAATTTAGTGTGGTGAGAACAAGCATCTTCTTCACTGCACATGCTAACATCCATCTCAAGATATCTCAAAACTACATTTGGGAGAAATCAAAACCACCCCGAATAAGAAGTATGATGATAGGTTTCGCGATTAGCGTAGTAAGGGCTTTCCAAGGAATCTGCTACATTAAACTTTGTATCATGCAAAGAAATTGATTACAAAACAGAAAAAAATTGCCTATCAGAAAGGAGAAACACATGTGTGGGTAGAAATCTAACACATGAATGCAAGGACAGAAAGTTATAGACCAAATTTGGGAAAGAAACAAAGTAGAACCAAGCAAAATCGGATGTCCCTATCTTTTAAACAACTGCTAGGTGTTTTATATTGTTATAATAGATATATTGTTAGGAATAGATTTAAAATTGGTAGTATTTAAAAACCATTTAATCCCTTGGAGGGATGCCTTTCCTCATTCAAATCCTGACCACGATATCATCCCACGAAGAAAATCAGGGGTGCTCCCGTCACCCCTTCTCCTTTCCTTCTTCCTCTACAAGATCTCTAGCCAAGAGAACTGGTGTTGCCACCACTTCGCTCCAGACCCCATCCGGCTGTTTCGAAAGGTTAAAGGAAAGAGAGAAGACATGTCACGATTGCTGATGGATGTTGGCGAGGAGTGGGAGAAAGGAAGGTGGCTCACACATTTTGGAGAAGTGGAGGAGGGAGATAACTGTGGGAGTGGACCAGCCAGGCAGCCTGCCAACATGTTCATGGTTTGTTTCAAGAAACATTCAAGAGAGCATTTTATAGGACTAGCTTAATCCTGAAGGGTCAAGGATAGATAGGACAACTTGGAGTCCTCCTGAGCTTTGGAGCTCACTTCCCATGAATTCCAACTGATATGACCAGTGGCAGGTCAATAAATAGATAATAACCCAACAATCTTAAGTATGATAGTCATTGGATGTAGGATACCCAGAAACAAAGGACGATGATTGCTTGTCTCCAGAATAGTTTGTGGGGTGAGGGAAAAACTTGTTTTGTTTTCACACAGCGTTATCAGCAGGCCTGCTATGGACATAGCAATAGCACTTAGATTTATACAGCGCTTCACGGCGCTTTACACCCCTCTCTAAGCAGTTTAAAGATTTCCTCCCACAATCTGGGTCCTCATTTTACCGATTTCAGAAGGATGAAAGGCTGAGTCGGGACCGAACTGCTGGCAGTCAGCAAAATCAGCCTGCAATACTGTATTCTAAGCACCGTGCCACCACAGCTCTAAATTGAAATCCTTTTCAATTTAAAAACATCCATTCGACTTGCGTGGTTCCAATGCAGAGAGTTGATTCTGTCTGGGGATCTGATTGAGCTTCATTGCATGAATCCTGTTTCTAGGCACTTGCTCCTAAAAAAAAATGATTTGCTACCTGGTGCAGTGGCTTTAGTCTGTTGATGGAGGGGCTGGCACGATTAAATGATGTTCAGAGGACCGGGGAAAATATTTACGTTTGGGTCTTGTCCTACTTTGACCCTTTTTGCTTTCTTTTCAGTGAAGGGAAGCCAGAAATGTGAACTCAACTGCCGAGCTGTCGGCTATCGCTTCTATGTGAGACAGGCGGAGAAAGTGATAGATGGAACGCCATGCGATCAAAATGGAACCTCCATCTGTGTGTCGGGGCAGTGCACGGTAAGAAGACCATCAACCTTGATGTTGGAAGTTTCCTTCTTCTCTGTGATTCCTGTGGCTTGATCTAGCCCCAAAAGAGAGCAAACCACCAGGAATATAAATACTTTCTGTACATTTCTTCGGACTTCTGTTTTTATAGATAAACACAATCTTTTTCTGTAAGTCTAGGTTTCTCTTCTTGTCCACATCTGGAGAGGATCAGACACGTTCTTGGAAGTTATTTTTAGTGATTCAAAGCATAGTTGGAGTTATCTTTGTGATGGAAGATGTGGCTGGGGTTCAGATTATTTATTAAGGCATCTTTTGATATAAGGATGAAGGCCAGGAGACTGTTGATGTTTTGATCCAAGTGGAGTTCGCGTAATGCCCAAAGGCCAACTTTACAATGCAGCTGTACTCACTGGAAGAGTAGATACAAACATGGAAAGAAATTTAATAATCATTTACTCACAATGAGTAACACTCCATTGGATTCATGTCAGAGCAATTGTACTGTAAAAACGAGGAAACATGTTGTGTGCGTAAAACGATCACATACCCTTTTAACACTTTCATTCACAGATGTTCTTCACATGTTTGTTTATATAACTCAGAACTCTGGAAAAACAGCAATTTTGGCCTCCTCTGTGCCGTTAACACTACTGAATATCACATAGACTTCAAATCTTTTGAGTCCAAGGCAATCTTGAGTCAATTGAAGGCTCTTGACCCATTAAGTCAAGCCTTCTGGGTCCAACTGGGTATATCTTGGAAGCCCGTTATGATATGCCAAAGGCTACAAGTCCCTATCTCCTGTTGACTTCTGCCACCCATGATGGAAGGAAGTGGTCAACAACCATACATATTCAGTCCTTTATATCATGATTCTCCGTGAATATGTCTTGTCCTCTTGGCTGCCATCAGAACTGTTGGTAGCAAATCCCAATTTCTTTGCTATGTACATATATATTTCCTTGAGGGGTCCTTGGTGCTCTCTGAGCGTGATTGTTTTCTTGTAGGCTTTTCATTATCCAAACTAGGTAGCATCAGCCCCACAATCCAGAAGTAAACAATATCCCAATCCAGGAACTTCCAAACAGGCTAACAGTAAACAGCCCAACCCAACAACTTCTAAAACCAGTCCCACCAACACTGATGGGGCAAGCCACTTGACTATAAACAGGGAGCAAACCCCACTCCCTACTAGCACTGATGATGTCACCTAGTTGGGTAATGAAATGTCTGCAAGAAAACAGCCAAGCTCAGAGAGCACCAAGGACCCCTCAGGTCAACCCTAAGCTAGAAATATTCTCCTTCCTGTATTTCTTTTTTACGGTCCTGAATTTCCCGACATGTCATTTTGACGGATATCCTTGACTTCCAACTTTGTAAAGAGTGTGAAATTCTTCACATGATCTCTGCTATGCTTTTAAAAGACCTTTGTAGTGTGCGGCTCCACACTTTGTGGGAAGAGAAGGGGGCCCTTGAAAGCAAACCTGATTTTTGCATTCAGATAACCAGATATTACGAAATCGCCATATCTGTGGCTTCTCTTTCAAGTCTATTTACACAGTCATTGTACTTGCTGTTGGAAAGCTTTTAATGTCCAGGTGTGGATTCCTTTTAAGATTGCGATGGGGGCATTGTGCCTATAGACTGAATTGTGTGTGATTCAAGGAGAGATATTAAGCACTCTTCCAACTTAGTGTGGCGAAGTGGAGTAACTGCAATTGCTTTCTCCTTTCCTGATTTTATCCTGCAATTGTTTGGTAAGAAACATTTTTAAGCTTGTTGTCTTAAACAAAAAGTAGACTCTTGATTGAGTTTCTTCCCTTGCTTTGTCCTGGGCAATTTTGGTTCCACTGTGGTTGCACGCTGCATCGCTGGTGAAAGTGGGACTTCATCCCCGACCATAGATGGGTGTCCTCAAAGTGCTTTTCTAAAAGACGACTGGACTTTCTTGGTTTGTTTTTTTCCCTTGAAAAAAGGAAGGTTTCGCTTCTAATCCAAGAATCTTCTTCTTCTTCTTCAACTATGACTTGGATGATTGAGCATCTCCATAGACCATAGATTAGTTTTCAGATTTATGGCATTTTCAGTTGAGGGATGGACAAGGAGAAGACCTGGACAGAAAGTTGACCGATGGTCTACTATTGCATTGTCCTTTTTTTTGCATTTCTATTGTTGAAGGGATACTTTACGGGATGAAAAAAAAAAGAGAGACAGTGCAGTCTTTGTTAACCTCGGTAGCTGGAAGATGGTTGGATTTCAACTCCCAGAATTCCACAGCCACTAGAGGGTTCTGGGAGTTGAAGCCCACCCATCTTCCAGCAGCCGAGGTTGAGATACACAGATATAAGGGACTACCGAGAGAAAGTGACTTGGCAGGCATGCTGTCTTTCTTTATTTAAGCATAAATATCTTTCATGTGCAATTTGGTATCTCTGGGGTCCAATTCAGAGAGTTTACAAAGAAGGAACTTACATTTTGGGCTTGGTGGACTCTGGAAATTATTGAGAAGATGTATGATCCACTGGTGACTCTAATAGGCCTTCAGTGCCATCTGCTGGGTGATTTGTCATGGTCCCATTTATGTCACCAAGGATCATAGAAGCAGTGTTGATTTAAAGTTGCTGAAGAAGGAGAGAGCAGAAGAGAAGTAAGATATAATGAGCAACAAATAAGTAAACCATTGACCTTGACTTAAATTACGGTAAATTAGCCACTGATGAGGCATGCTGAAATGAACGTTTTTTTCCTTATTAGAAAAACAAGAAGGAGGAGTGTATTCTGCATAATTATACACAATTGTGCAGACGCATAGATGCTGAACCACACAGTGGCGCCAAACTCAAAATAATGCAGTATTGTACACTTTTCTGCTCCACTTAAAAGAAATTTCTCCAGGGGGAAGACTGGCCGCCCTTTTAAAAATCCTATTCTCATTCTGTATCCCTGATCAGCACTGATCCTTACCCACAATTATCCCCGTATTCTGCCACTGACGTGACCCCCCCAAAAGGGAACTGTGGTTTCCTCTGCTGGATGAGCCGAAGGTCCATAAGTGTCATTATGGCCCCTAATTTTTCATTCAATGTGTTTTTTTCTAAAGCAGTGGAAAATGGATTTTCTGGCCAGCAGAACTTTTAATTTTTACAAAGAAAGACTTTAATGGAATGGGGGAGAAGTCCCCCTTCATCACTGATGGTGATGTGGTGGGTGATGAAGCCCCGAGGACCTATGTACCAGTAGAAGAGAACATTTATAGCTCAGGGTTGAATTGTTGGAGTCCTTGGTGCTCTCTGAGCTTGGTGGTTTTCTTGCAGATGTTTCAT